TGCCTGTTGACCGATCTGTAGCAATGTGCGTACATTGAGGCATGCCAATCTGAAGGAGGATCAAGGGCTCCAAATGGAAGCCGATGAACTGGGCTTGACCGCTTGCTTAGACATGGGCCTGTTGACAGGGCAGGAATGACGCCTCGCGTTCATCTGTCAGTTGAAACGAAAAGGCAAGCGACTATTGAAGCAAGTTGGGGGCGGGCCAAGAATTGGGGGATTGAAAACAGGGGGATACAAGTGAAGCTGGAATGGGACGATAAGGGTGAAAAAGCGTAAGAGGCGGAATAAGAAGACGGGAAGGCTTGAGCAGTAGCATCCAAACCCCTAACCACCCTGCTCGATGCAGCAAATAGGGTGCCGTTTATTATTCACTGCGGGCTGCTAAAGCATCAGGAAACTGTTTGAAGAAAAGTTCAATGTTTTGCGTGGACAGGATACTGTCAGGTTGCCCAGGCCTAGACAGAAGAACGATTAGGGTTCTCAACCAAAGCCTGTGGTTCAATACATAACTGCAAGGCAGCGGGTTTGGTTTTGGGCTACAAGGAATCCGTTTTAAGGAATAAGAAGCTACCCTCACTCCAATCCCCGACCTGGATAACCACGAGGCCGAGTTTGTCTGGCCTCTAATCATTGACCAATCTGGTATGAGTGGCTCTGGAGGTGCAAAAAACACCACCCAACATAGCTCAATGGATCGCTGAGGCAAGCAAACCATCGCACCACGGTAAGGTACAACCTCATTGCGATGGAGTCTGTTATACGCTTCTTCTTCTTCTTCTTCGAAATAAAAATGATCTATTTCTTGATCGCATTGTAACATGCGACGAGCAATGGGTTCTATACGACAGTGGACGGCGTCTGGTGCAACAGTTAGAAATAAAGTGTCATCAAAAGATGAGTACGAGTAGTGGTCTGGTGGTCGGTAAGTGAGATCGTTCAATACAATTTTTTGGAAACGGGCGAAACAAATTTATCAGAGACGTAGTGCCAGGAAACTGACAAAGTGCACCGAAAACGGTCACATGTACGCCCAGCTTTCATCAATCGTGCAATAATCGTTCGTGAAAATGCAAAACTGCATGTCACACAAATGACTGAGCATAAATTACACAGAATGGGATATGAGAAGTTCTCCCTCAGCTTACTCACCGGTACTCTCTCAGAACGACTACTACATTTTTAGCGCCTTGACAATTTATTGCAAAATGCCTTCATCCACCAAACAACAGCTCATAACGTTCTCCAAAGTTCATCGATACTAAAACTTCAGAATTCGAGGCTACTGGAATCAACATACTTGTTTCGTGTTGGTAAAAATATACAGATGCGAAGAGTTATTTTTACTTCGACTACCGTATTTTTTGGACGATAAGGCGTACCGGATTATAAGACGCGGTATCATTGAACGGACCTAATTTCACATATAAGGCGCACCGGAATATAAGGCGTACAAAGTGAAACAAAATAGTCGGACAGGTCAGACTTAATTCAACTCATTAACAATAACTGTCAATATTGTTCACACACACATGAAACACAGAAGAAGAAAAACACTTTTGCAACCACTTCTCTTCTATAAATTCTTCATGTTCAGTGTCGGAGTTTAATAGTTGGGCGATAGTGACATCAAGCAAGCCCGAATCCCTCTCGTCATCATCTGAGTCAGTCTCGTTGCTGTTGCTTGGCTGTTCATTGATGATTCCGGTCTTCCTGAAAGCTCGGACGACAGTTGAGACCGATACCTTGGCCCAGGTATCGACGATCCATTGGCAGATAGTGGCGTAACTAGCCCGGCGTTGCCTCCCTGTCTTGGTAAATGTGTGCTCACCTTCTGTCATCCAATGCTCCCAATTTAACTTTGAACGCTCTGTTGACACCAATACCTAACGGTTGGAGTTTTTTGGTGGAATGATGGCAAGCCCCGAATTAGTTTTCTTTACTTAGCGTTTGATAGTTTCGGTGAGATGAGCGCACATGGAGTTGTGGGTGAGATGTGTGGAAAAAAGCCATCCGGTCTCCTGAGGTAAACTTCTCTCGGCCACCCGTTCATTTTCTCCTCGACCATCCAGCCTGTGGGGTTGACCTTGACGATGACCCCAACAGAAAACCTTTCTTTTGGCAGTCTTTCTTTTGAAAATGACCATAGGTGGTAGTTTCTGGTCATTAACCTGACAACCGAGAAATACAGTGAAGGATGATTTCTCGTTCCTTGTGGTGCGTATAGATACAGTAGACGTCCCTGTTTATTCAACAATACGGTTCACGGGGATGTCAAAGCCGAGAGGAACCTCGTCCATTTTTTGATGTGGTCTGCATGGAGCTTTTCGGTGATCTTGTTCTCGAAGTAAGTGCGGGAGATGGCGAACTTTTCTTCGTAATCCTTTTGCAGTTGCTGCGAAGTGGTAGTTCTTATGTGGATGAAGAGATGGCATCTTTCATAAAACGGAAGCACCAAGAAGGACCTCCTTGAAAGTCTATCATCTTCATATCAAGTGCCATCGTTATTGCCTTGAATCGAATGGAGACTATAGAGACGCTATTACTTGCTGTTCTATGTTCAGTAATGCAGTGCTCAATTTTGTCCTCTAACTGTGGCCATCTTACCTTGTTCTCTCGGAAAGGCTACTTTGTCTTCTTTACTTGGCGTAGGTCATTTTGCTTTTCCCAGTTCCGTACCATTGATTCATTAAGGTTGAATTGTTTCACAGCTGCTCTATCCCCATGTTGTACTGCGTGGCTGATGGCCTTGAGTTTGAAATCCCCCTCGTAAACATGACTCTTAACAAGTGTCATTTCGGGGGTCATTAATTACCGGTATGCTAAAGCACTGTACGTATCAGGAAAGTGGTAGGGGTAAGCGAACACGCTTCGTCTTCATCGCCAGCATGCGACTGGCGCTGAAAAATGTTATCTTGTTATCGTAAGTGCACGGTTACTCCCTCTGTAGTATACGCACGACGAGGTATGTTCCAGTTGTCTATCCGAAAACCTCAGTTTGGACGATGATGTGAATGAAGCTCACACAGGCATCGCCGACTGTCTGGATGAGCGCACGTCTTTGGATCACTGGTGTGAGCGCAGATTGTGTGTTCAAACACTTACCTGCAACCAGCGAGATACAGGTGCGTGTTTGCAAAGTGAATCGTTGGACCAAGTGAGTTTGCCGGGTGGAGTAACCATCATATATATCACAGTGTGGGATATCAGCGTGAATGGTTGAATAGCTGGTTGGTTTATCGTCGCCAGAAAAACTCTCTAATTAGTTGGTTCATGCACTGAGTTCGCCACCCCCAAAACAACATAGAAAGCTGACTCCACGAGGTTCCTGACCAGCGATTATGCTATGACAATCAAAGTCGTAATAAAATATGTTGACAGATTTTTAAGCGCAGTGTGGACATAGAAATTGATTCGGTCACTAGGCTTCAGCATAATCATTCATACATAAGGCGCACCGGATTATAAGGCACACTTCTGATTTTTTTAGCAAATACGGTAATAAACTTAAGTCTAAATTGAGATATACTGTATTAAAGTTGTTTGTTAAAAATCGCAATTAACAGTAGTAAAATTATTATTTTGTGCCATCCAAATAGGAATAAATCGCTGAGACTACTGCCTGAAGTGAGATTCAAGAAACGGAGGGTCTCAGATAACTCGCTTAGTGCTTAATATCTTTATGAAATCGCTATTCCGCTGCTACGATCAATGCCAAGAGGTATGGGACGCTGGTGTGAGATCACACATAACCGATGGAAAACTGCGAGTCACCCGCCAGTCACCGGACTAGGGCCAGAGATTAGAAAACGGACGGCAGGCTTGCATCGGTCGCTGGAAAGGCGACTGGTGTGAGTTCAAGTAGGACAGGCGTTGCCGCGAGTACAAGATTTGAGTGCTCATCGATAACTACAAGGCTGACCGTGCTAGATTACTTGAGTTGAGAATAGGACTCCCTGCCTTTGGTGTTTGCTGTGTCCTTCCTTGGCGGATTGGTTAGGCTCCTCTAGCAGTTAGGCCACAACAACCGCTAAGCAGCATGAATAACGACGAGCGAACTGTCGGTGTTGACCGCTCGTATGCTGATGACATAGAGCGGATGTGCCATGAAAATGTCAGATAAAATTAGTGCAAGTAAAATGTCTCTTGCTATGTACTGAGTTTGCGTGCAGGCGGTTGAAGCAAATTGGGACCGGACATCTTTGATCCGAATGTGGAGTAATGCCTTAGGTAGTGAAACGGAAGCCCCACTTCATCCGCGTACGCACTCACTGCGGTTAAGGGTAGACATCAAAAGAGACCAGGTGTTCGCCTTCCATGTTCGAATCGGTTGGTGAATTCGAGGACGATCATGGAGCAATATACAGGTGGCTGGGACCGGGTAGATTCAGGTAGGATGACCGATCAATGTGCAAATATGTCAGAGTCGTCTCATCGCAGAAAAGATTGTACGCAGCAGAATCCTTAATCATTGGAACACGGGTAGACCAGAAGTAGAAAGAAGCGATGAAACAAATAAAATCTTTCGGATCTATATATCAGCAAAGAGGAGAATGCTTTCGCCGTAGTCAGATTGTAATGAGTGAGATGTTGCAGCGTGAGCGGGTTAAGAATGGCGTGGTGCACAGGGCAGTTCAGAAAACATGCATTCGCAGCATCGCGCAGGAAGCCTGGTAACGAAATTACTCGGCTCCGCATCGTAACCAACAACACTAGCCTGGGGGATCGGAAACATCTGTGAATCGTTGACGTCACAGTTACTGAGGCATTTCTTACTTCTAGCTAACGTGTAAAACGATGAGAAGGCTGGTAATCGATATGGCCGGATGGAAAACACAATGACCCCAGACTATTGTCTAGAATTGCGTTAGCTGTGCGGAATAAAGCTATTAAAACCGGTTTGTAGTGTGATCACCGAAAGGTACTCATCGAAGCACAAAACCGAGTATACGCAAAAGTATGAAAAGCACAAGAGCATTGAGGAACCGAAGAGAACGCACCAGATTGAGGCTTGTTCGTAGAGACTGTCACCTCCTGTTTCGCTTTTATGGCTTGTTTCAACTCTGCGTTTTCCGCTTTTAGGCGATCAATCAACTGGATAAGCTCCCGGCTCTCATTTTGCCATGTTTCCGCTAACTGTTCCAACTCCTGAAGCAGGCGGGACACAAGAAATAAGGAAGAGATTAAGAAGAGGCTTCGGATTATACTAGAAGGCCAGAAAATACAGGTGATAAGCAATTAAGAGGAAGATGTTAAGTGTTTGACTGCACTAAGACTATATATATATATATATATATATATATATATATATATATATATATATATATATATATATATATATATATATATATATATATGAGCCTCACACGTTCTAATCTTGATTGCAGGTCATGGGAATCGAAAGCGGTTGATCGGCGCGTATGGCGCGATCTCATCACGAAGGCAGTTGCTGAAGTGCGGGAGAAAGACCTCATGCATGCAGAGAAGAAGCGGCAAGCACCGATGGATTGTACTCCATCGACATCGAGTGCATGGTGCTGTAGCACATGCGGTCGCGAGTGCCTGAGTCAGGCAGGCCTAGTGAGCCATGAGCGAGACCACTCGAGACTACTACCGAAGCGCCAACGGGTTCTGCTGAGAAGGTAGGCAGAACCGGCGCAGCGTTTGTAGGTACACTGCATTCGATTTACTAACCGCGTGCTGGGATGCTAAGTCTCTTTATTTCAGGTGGTGGGTTTTCAATTTTGCCCTTATGCTTTTCTTTCCCATATGAATGCCTAGTTATACTCTCTTCTATACACTTGCACACGTCGCTTAAGCCACTTGTAGTTATTTCGATAACATTTTCGTGTTTGTAACATTTCCGTAAAATAAACCTCCTGACCTCGTGAACTTACCTCGTATTCTTTTGGAAACAACCTATTTCCTATGCTCACTAATTTAAGATTTACGTCACCGTTTGCTTGCGTGCTAAGTCTGTTTATTTCAGGTGGTGGGTTTTCAATTTTGTCCCAATGCTTTGCTTTCTCATATAAATGTCTACATGTACTCTATTCTATAAACTTGCACACGTCACTTAAGCCAATTCTAGCCCTCTTCGAAAACATTTTTGTGTTCGTGGCATTTCCGTAAAGTATACTTTCTGTCCTCGTGAACTTATCTCGCATTCTTCTGTAAACAATTTACTTCAGATGCTCATTACTTTAAGATATATGTCACCGTTTCTTTATGTATTACTCGATTTATTTTCTTTGTTATCTTTCTCTAAAGTGATTGGGTGTTGCTTGATACCATCGGTGAGGCTGCGCTTGATGTGCATGTTGACAAAGTGCTTACCTGTCTATTACCCACTACCTCCTCCATACTGGCTCCAGGAGACAGTTGGACGTTGCTGGAGGGGACAGGGTGCACGGTCCTTGTGGCCGTGTTAGGATTAAAGAGTGGTTCCATGCAGTCAGTGTGGAGCGGACTACGATCCAGCCACCGCTTTGTGTGCGCATGACTCCCAAATACAGGGTGCTTGTGTTTGCCTGTGAAGGAGTGTGGGCCGGCTCCGTTGATGAAACGTGGCTCCCATCCACATGCCTCCCGGTCTTATTCCTTCGGGTTTACACTGGATATGGGGTGTGTGGTTGGTGCAGCGCAAGCAATCAATGGTCCCACTGTAGGCGCAGGCGTCCTGTGGCTGGCCACAGTGACAGGTAAATCCGAAACCGGATGCCACCAACCATATATATATATATATATATATATATATATATATATATATATATATATATATATATATATATATATATATCCGGTACCGGATTTGACTGTCACTGCGGCCTCCAGAAGCCAGCCACAGAACACCTGCGCCAACAGAGGAACCATTGGTGGCTTGCGCTGCAACACCCACACTCCATATCCAATATAAACACGAAGGAACAAGATCGGGATGCATGAGAGTGGGATACACGTTTCATCTATGTAACCGGTCCACACACCTTCAACATGCACAGCAGCAGCGTTCCTGTCTATCTATGTAGGGAATCATGCCTACTAGACGTACACAAGGCGGTGGCTGGGCCGTAACCCGCTCCACATTGGATGGAATTGCTCTTTGAGTCTAGCACGGCCACGAAAACCGTGCACCCCATCCGTCCAGAAATGATTCACAGTCTCCTGGAGCCAGTAATCGAGGTGGAGGATGTTAGACAGATAGGGACCTTATCAACACTCCCATCAAGCGCAGCTACACGGGATATATCAAAAAACCAACACAGAATGCTAAGGAAAATTAATATGCAAAATTGGCAGGGAATTTGCAGCAGAACAACGGTACTGAGCAAATCAAATAAAGGGGATAATTTTTATCCATATAAATATATATATATCTATATATCCAGTAAAGCGTGCAACATCGAATGCTGGAACATGCGCACACTGCTCAATCGGAACACGAGTGAGCATCCCGAACGACCACTGGTCGCCATGGAACCCGTGAACTACGACATTGACACTGTCTCACGCCTTGAGACTCGGCTCGCTGACGAAGGCTAGCTGCACAAGGATGGGGATGGCTGTACGTTCTACTGGGTGGGAAATGCCAGCACAGCACCATGTGAACATGAGGACGGATTTGTGCCAGCCCGTATCCTAAAGAATTACATGCCTGCCTCGCGATCCGAGGATGCAGGTTCGAACTTGCGTAAGGGACTGGGCACACAAACACACTATCCACGTTAGCTAGAGGTGGGAAACACCCAGCTACTGTGCCGCAATAAATAAAAGAAAAAACGCAACATGTGCGAGCCAGCTGAGCTGACGGTAACTGATGGGCATCGTTCCGGTAAGCTACCTGCCGGCTACTATGCAGCAGAACAATAATAATTTACTATGCAAAATTATAGAATGCTAAATAATGAGATTGTGGTTGGAGGGGAAGGCTAAGAGGGATAGGGTGGGACAAAAAAAAACTCAAAGCACGAACGCCATTGAGGTCGGCTCCTAGCCAAATCAACAAGTGTATCCAGCCAAACATGTTCATCGTCTTTCGGACCCCAACCAGGGAGCCGAGACGCTCCAACCGAGGCCAGCTTCCTCTTGACCAAGTCATCGCTTGGCCACCCCTCCTCTTCTTCCATCCACACCTCCGGTGCGCATACAACACACGTCGAGGGAGTCGGTGGGCTGGCATGCGTAACACGTGGCCGAGCGATCGGAGCCTGGTGCATGAAATAACGGTGCTGAGAGATTCATTTCCTTTTCCTGTGCCGTAAACAAGGCATCTAACACGCTTGTTGTTCACGCGGTGTTTCCACCAGATGTGAGTCAAACTGCGAAGGCACCGGTGGTCGAACGTAACTAGCCTCTTTACGTCCGCTGATTTGAAGAGCCAGGTTTCACAACCGTACAGTAAGGTCGAACGCATCGCTGAGTCGTAAAGTCTACCCTTCAGGGTGACAGTGATGTCGCGACGGCGCCATAGGTGATGAAGGTTAGCAAAAGCGCCTCGAGCTTTTGCTATACGGTTCGTGATCTCATCTTCAATCCCACGGGTGCTGATACAACTTCCCAAGTAGTTGAATGTTTTAACGACTTCTAGCGGATCCCCACCAAAGGTCAGCGTAGAAGGCGGTCCACGCCAATCTTGGAGGAATGTTTTGCACTTCGATGGTGCAAAGCAAAGTCCGAAGCGGTTGACAGCCAGTGCTAATCTGTCCAATGCCGTTTGGTACGTCTGGAAGCTGTCACGGATTAGGGCAATATCGTTAGCATGCTCCAAGTCAAGAAGTCGTTCTGTTGGGAGCAGATCCACACCTTCTAAGTCATGTCCTGTGAATGCGATTTCCATGACCATCAATAGCGAAGGGGACTGGGTGACCATGGAAATATCCATAGATAACGCGCGACTATTGGTGATTGCGGGCAGTGTAGCGTCGGTACTGAGTACCCGCTGGCCGGATTTGCAATATCCGACCTCCTAAATGACATCAGCCCCCGACTGATGACTCTTCGCCTACACTAGAACTGCAACATACCAAATGGACATTTGTAAGCTCGCCACACTGATTATCATGTATGTCTCCACCATGCGTTTTCCAGATGATACTAAGGATCAGACTTACTCATAGTTGTCCTTCGTGATACGGTCTGTGTCTTGGAGTGACCGACTATTCCTACTGGATGATTTCAACGTGCGCGATGTCGCGGTGTATACAGACGTCACTAGTCGTACGGTACTGGCACAACCAACGGGGAGGGGGGCCGTCTGCATTAACTGGGTGCCATTCATGATCTGACAATCAGGAACACCAGGTTTGCACTGGGTGGTAGTGATATTACTAACTGGACACTCACGTGCTCTACAATATCATCGTACGTCGAAGTGACCTGCGTGCACCGCGTGGCACTGACCATAAGTTGGTGTGAATCAAATTGTACATATATTTTGTAAGTCTAGGTACGGCTCACCTACCATGAATCGGCGTAACTCTAATGTTCGTTCCGTAGGTACTATTGATAAGAGGAACGAGTTGGAGGAGGCCATGGCTACTCGCGTTAGCAACGTCGAAGCAATAGCCACAGTTAGCGACTGTGGCACCATATCCGGAACCAGTTGACGGCTGATGACGAGGAAACGATCGGGCGCAGACTATAAGCGGACCGATTGTGGGGTCATCTAGAAGCAATCGTGATGTGAATGGATTGAGACGCGCAATCTCAATGTTATAGGGGAGGATCACCCCCAAACCCAACGAGTCTTCACTGCCGGGACACTTGCGAGAAAAGCGAAACACTTTCTCACGTCCTGCAGTCTTGTGCGGTAACCCACAATGCTCGCTATAAGAGGCACAACGATGCCGTGAAGCAACTAACCAACACTCTTCGTCGCAAATGAGCCCAAATCACACCGGAGCCCCGCCTCCCAGCTGCGACTACGTACATCAAGCCGGAGTTAATCGCCATTAAGAACTCCACAGCACACGTAATGGACGTGTCAATATGCGACACCTACAGAATGACCCGCAGCTACCAACTAATAATTGACATATACGATGTAGGGGCTCATGCGGAAGCTATAGCCCACTTTGTGCGTTCGGAATTTCCTAGGACATTAAATATCAGGCATCATCAGATAATCACCAACACCCGGGGTCAGGTAT